AGCCCATGAAAAAAACTGACTCAAGGTTTCAAGCTGGTTTGACTCAAATGACTCCAGCCTTGTAAATGACTCGAATGACTCAATCGGGGTAAATGATCGTTAAGTCGTGATTCGGGAGTAATTGGTTAATTGTGTTGGGCAAGATTCATGATCAGTACCCTGTTAAGCTGTTTATACAAAGTCGGGGTAATTGTTCGTAATAATATTGAAGAAGGTTTTATTCGGGAGTAATTGGTTAATTTTGTTGGTAATATTCGAGGGTAGGATTGGGGTAACCTATGATTTAAGCTGTTTATGGAAAATGGCGCCATGCGCTCGGTTATGTAACTACTGGTATCGATGCACATGTTTTTAAGCATTCAATAAGGCGGGTATGGTAATTGATATTGTTTGAATGAGAATGATGTTAGGAGCTGCATCTGTATCTCAAATTTGAATGAATTATCCTTCATGTTTAGCAGCAACCTTCTGGTCAAGTTCAATCGTCTTGCACTCGGCTGAAGATTTTCAATCCCCAATACCTGCACTAAACTTCTTGTGATTTCGATCTCATATCACTCGTAATATTGCAGAAAAGTTATTTGTAATTTCTTGGTACTATGTTCGCTTCGTTACAAACTTATTGGGATATTCGACTCCCAACTCTCCTGCTCAAGTAGAAAGTAGCTATCGGGTTACGTAGCTAGTATCTTTCCACCTTTGGGCTCTTGCAATGTAACGAATTCTATAGTTTCTTGAGACCATTCTGCTTGGCGCCAAAAGTTGGAATGGCAGGAAATTGGCGTTCCCAAATTTATAAGCTGCTGTAGAATTAATAAGCATTATTTCCTAATGATTTCTTTGTTCTTCATATAAACAGAAGGTCGAGGTCGTCACGCGTTAAGAAGCCGTGTTATGAACACGATGTCCGGACCTTTAGGCTGCTGAGTTGTTAAGTTTGTTGTGTTTCAGAGCAGCAACCCTGACTTCCTGTCCACTGTGGTGCTGGGGGGCGAGAAGGACGGCGGTGTCGCTACAGGAGCTGTGGACGCGGCATGTCGCGTGCGCATCGTGGTGCGTCGGATGCTCGAGCCTCTCTCCTGCACCTCCACTGTCATCGGCAGCGCCTCCGTCAGTAGTCTTGCAGTGCACAACAACTTCACCATAATCCCCTGGTGTGACAGTCCATTCAGCCATTCGGCGTAGGAGATTAAAACTGTTGTGTAGATAGTGCGAATTATTGGCTAAGTGCCTTGATTATGCCTTCCTGATGCCAAGCTACATTCCTTAATTTGTTAGTTTTCTTTTATATCGAGACCCATGGCAGTGAATACTACTGATTTAGATAAATAATCCATATATTAAAGTGAATGAGGTGGTTTTCTCTCATAATAAATCTTCTGCTTCATTTGTACACTTGATGTAAAAGTGAATCTAAAACCATAGCGTTTTAACTTCTTGTAACATACATATATTGATACAATATCTATTGAATAGGATTGATTGAAGACCAGATATGCAGATAATCAGTCTTATTGATAATTTTTCTAATAGTTATAATTGTTTGGCCTTCAATCAAACCTGTTTAAAAGATTATGTTCTGCCATCCTATAGTAACACATCTACTAATATTTATGGCATCGCTCAGACGACGGTAGGAGCGGTGAGCAGCGCAGGCAGGCTGCGCCTGACGCTCGTGTCCCTGGCTGGGGAGACGTCAGGCTTCGTGACGCTCACGTGCTGGGCTGCTGACGGTGACGCTGCTGGGGGCGTGGACGCTGCTGCTGCTGCTCATGTCCTGCACACCCTCCAGGGCACCCCTACACACGCCAGCACCGTCAGTTCCTTTTGGACATCTTAACCTTTCAACCATGTGTACCGATCTCTTCCCTCCATCCTTGTGTACCAATGTCTACCCTCCATCCATGTGTACCGATCTTTTCCCTTCATTTATCCGCTTCTCGATGGTCTTTAATCAATTCTATTTTTATGTAAATATTTCTATAATGGAAAATTTTTCCATCCGTCTTTACTGATTTTTATTAAGGCGTCTTCTCCGTAAATCTGTTTTCCGTTCAATTGATTTATTTATTCATATGTCATTCCAAAGGCCTAGTCTGAGGACGCTCAGATTGGGGGAATAATATCAACTAGAGAAGTTTTCGATCTGTAAGATGTCATGTGTAAACAATTAAGAGTTTTGAGAGATCATCTAGACGCTTTACGAGGTAATCTTTGACATTTGCAGATACATAAAAAAGCTTTATTTCTTAATTGATGCTTACAGCCACGCTTTTGTATTGCAGGTCACTGCCGCACATCACCGACGCACTCAGTCGCTGCCACCGCGTCTGAGTTCAAAAAGCAGACCTCCTCAGCCACCGGTGCTCTGTCCTTTCCATACGAACCCCTCAACCGCCACCTACCGGTCAGTGGGAGACATACTTGCCACTGAAGAGCAATATTTACTGCGCTGCTTGTTTGGTTTTATTTCCATTTATTCTGATGCTGTTTGGTTATTATGCCCGTTTCAGGCTAAGAACACTAACCTACATTGACTACTTGTATCCGCAGATTTTATTAAAGATATTCTGGTGCAATCTATTTCACGGATGAAATAATTTCAGGAAATTATTTAGTTCTGTAGGCAGTGCTCAGTGTGTGTATTTTCTTAACGATGGTTCCAATTTATAGGTTCCATTCTGGACTGGGCGGGGACATCGCTGTTGTTGAGATCATGGCGGAGAGCAGACTGTCCCTAACGCTGCCACAGCAGCTGTTGTGAGTGCATATTAGTCTGCTGCCCTTAATTTCTGTATTGAGTAGAACTTCAGTCTGCTGATAAGAGTGCTAACGCATTCAGCTTACGGCTAGCAATTGCTGTTAATTTATATTTGTCAAATTAATTTCCAGGAAGATTTGGCAGGGCGCCGAGCGAGCGTGGCAGGAAGAGCTCGAGGCGCTCGGAGAACTTTCGGAACCCTGGGCTAGTCGACAGCGCGCTCTCGTCGCCATGCATGCTTCCAGGTGTTGTATATGTTTTATTGTTGCATTAGTAAATCTAATGTTCAGTCTCACATGGAGTTCCGTGTAATGCAGGAAATATAGGAGAAGCCGACTTTTTGAGTGCCGTTTTTAACTCTACAGTTCACTCTTCCTCAGTACAAGTCTGTTGAACGGAGATGATGATAATTGTAGTAGATCGCTCCACTCATGGTTATGGCTATTACGATGTTAAATCATTCTTTTCAGTTCAAGCTCTTGTATTTTATAATGCTCTAAAGTGTATATAATACCTGCTTCATTTTAAGACGCGCAAAGCTTTATTCTTAAATGTCTGTAAATCTCTGCTTAAGTGTAACGGTTTCAGCCATTTTCACTGTAAAATGGCTCTAATTGCACCCGTAAATTTTTTGGCATCCGAGTTAAGTTTTACTGATACTGCCCTCCAGAAACCAACTGTACGCTGACGCAGCGTCAGCTCTGGCAGCATGCGTGGCTAAAGGGCAGAACTTCAAGCGCAGCGCCGACAAGGAGGACCCGCTGCTCGAGTTCGCGCCCATCAACCTGCACCTGCAGCGCATGTGGGCCCAGAACGAGACTCTCAAGAGGACGGGCTTCCATGACGTCCACACCGTCGGCGCCTTCGCTGCTAACGCCCTCGGCTGCGGTCATGGCGGCCTCCTTACGTGGGTTTTAGTCCTGCTTTATTTAGTTAACAATTTTTTGAAGGCGAACAGTTCTATTGTCTCAATGTGTTCTGCACTACGTTGCAAACTATGAAATTTGTTTCGCTTTGGACGTTGCGTTGTTCTTCATTTGTACAGTGAGTTGCATCACAATTTTGCTTTTTACCGTTCATTTGCTATTAATTCTAATTTTACCAAAACTTTTATACTTTCAATATTTATGCTAATTTTACTCATAATTATTTTGTGAATCATCATATATTTGAGCCTTATCAAATATTAATTCTTTTATTGATTATTCAACTTATAGGGAGAGTGAGCTTTACTGTTCTACTGGGCAGGCAGCTGCAGGACCATAGCAGGCGAGACCGCGGCGAGGCGAGCAGTCGAGCTGACTGCAGTAGAGCAGGCGTTGAGAGCACCCGTCGCCTGCGGTCTGCTCTGGCGGCGAGCCTCAACTCTCTGCTGGGGGCCCTGAAGCGGCAGGCCTACCACGACCTGCAGTCGCAGCTTGCTGATGTCCAGGAGAAGGTTACCCTCCCTCATTATTTGCTCTTCTGTTTTTTGTGTTGTGTTTTTGCTAACACCCATGCACTCATAATACACACGCACAAATATGAAGACATCTACGGCAGTATCCCCTTCACTCTTCCTTGTTTGTGTCTATCGTGCTCTGAGCATCAGTTCAATAAGTGACAAGTAGCGCTACTTCCTACATTTTTCAGCTGTATGGACTTAGAAATGTATGCCGCAAATACATAAAATGGTAATTGTACCACCACTAGACTGCGTATTCTTGAATATGAGTACTGCTAAAGGACAAGTTTCACATTAGTTTCGAGAAAATAATTTTATTATGTTTTTTGGATCATTCGACCTTATCTTCTATGAAATTCCAATTTATCAGTTTATAGTTAGATTTTCCTCTAATATCCTTTATCTCGCACAAAAACTGCATTGATATTGAATTGCTCCTATCTTGGAAAAATACGTCCAATCTTCAAGTGTCGAAATTGATGCTCACCTGAAATTACATTGCAATATTATGTCCCGTACCTCCTACAGATCGATCTGCTGCTGAGTGCACTTGAGCAAGATGTTGTCGAATCTGCCTTTGATTTCTTAGACCAAATCAAGATACCTCAAAGTCCCTCCCACTTGGTGACGTTAGCATCCAGAAATTTTTCTGTGCACTCGAACCTATCAGGTTATCTCAGTCCTGAGTCTTCGTTGGACAAAACCATAGGGCAGCACCTACGGAGACCTCAAGAGGACCAACTCGCTCACGCCGGCACAGCCTCGGACGATACTGGACGCGGTGACGTAGATCTTCAGCGTAGACGTGATACGGCCTTCGACAGGACTCCTGATGTGAGACTAACACGCGCTTCAGGCGCAGGAATGTGCCTTAACGAATGTGCCTCATCCTTTGACAATGAAGGGATAGTGGAAGCCAAGTATTACTGTGCTACTGATGAACCTGAGCCCTGGGACCTGATTAAACTCAATTTACAAGCTAGCTTCATATGTCTTTCATCTAAGGTAAATGCCATCTGTAATAGCTACAACCAGAAAAAAGAATGCCGGTGTCCGCAAGACGGATTGGCTCCGCTAGCCAAAATAGACGGGTTAAGTGAAATCAGCGCGGCGTCGTGCGACGCTCTCACTGCACAAACAACTTCTGCTGATGTCTCACCCACGGAGGAAGACAGCGGCATCGGCCTTGAAAGGAACACTCCAGACATTGAAAGAAGGCTAAGCAGTGATGCCGCAACCTCAAAGTCCGGGTTCGCGGGTGCGACTTCTGTTAATATTTCTGGGCAACCCAGGGATTTAACAAATGCGATTTCCATAGCTCAAGTTTTATACACAGCGCCACAAAGTGGCATGCTTCCAGGAAATTCATCTGATGGATCTACTAGTCTTAATGCCTCATTTGAAAAACAAATTATTAATACATCTAATTGTTCTACCGATGAAATTGGTATTAGAAATAAGCTCTCTAGTATTTTAGAAGCTAGCAAAGAGAATATCCATGACAACGATCTTGTCTCATCTAATTGTTCAAGAGATATTGCTTCTCAGCTAGTCAACCCATCATCTACTGTTTCTATATTGAATGTCTGCAACGAAGCTGTGGACAATTGTTCGGCGGCCAAAGACTCTCGGGAGCTTTCTTTTGTGTACGTTAATCATGACATTGTTTCCACGACAGACGCTGCTAAAAACGCTGATGGAACCATGTATCCTCTTGATTGCCAGACTAAATTACAAGGCAGTGCCGTTCCAAGTGGCAAGCATTCCACGCATTTTATATCATCTCTTCGAGATTCGCGTTCCATGCATGCTAGTGCTGAGAATGGCGTTACACAAGGTTTAGCCCTGATGCAATTCTCGAATGTTTCTTCAGCAAAATCAAATCATGTTTCAAATTTCACAGTGGACTCCACTCGTGTTGCCGATTCCGTGCCAAATACAATCTCCGTAAACGGCTGTACTCCATTGCAAGTAGACCAGGCAAATGATTCGGCTGATATTTCAAGTTCTGCAAACGACGTCCTTAACTCATCATCCAACTCCAGACGTCTAAATGTGCTTCAAAAAACGGACGATGGCCCATCAGTTACCATAGTGGTTCCCAGCATCATTAAACTTCGCGGTGCTGTAGACGGAGCTGTGCGAACTGCCAGACTAGTGCACAGTTTACACAAACTGCAGCTCTCCACTGAAGTCATCCATAAAACCCATAGTTTGCAGTACCGCAGAGATGTGTGTTTCTCGCAGGCGGTGAGCTTCTTGTTCGTTTTTTTTTTTTGTTTAAACGAAGGTGACAACCAAACTTGTTTGAAATTTTCGAGTATTTAAATGAAGGGAGTTCTTCAAGGAATTCAGATAATTCATCACTATTTAAGTGCTTTGTTTGAACTAAATGTCTTATTTAATTTATGCGAGCCGGCTGTGGACAGGATTAATTGTTGGCTGGCCGTCATGTAGATACGAGCTTCTAACTGCGCATCCTCGTATCCCAGCTGACGGCGGCAGTGTCAGGCTTGGTGTCGTGTCTGTGGAGCCGCGTTCCTGACGTGGCTTTCCTGACGGTTCTCCAGCAGCTAGGTCCTCTTCTGCAGTTTGAGGGACTCCTGTCATGTTACGGGTATGTCGAGACCTCACAGCACACACTTCATCTTGTCATCTTTTAAAACCTATGCCCGATAATTGCGAGTATTCGAGCCATGGCAGCACCATTGAAATTTCAACAACGCATCACGCCCTCCTTCTAAAAGCACTACTTGCTCCTATTAAACGCACCTCTTGCTCCTATTAAACGCACCTCTTGCTCCTATTAAACGCACCTCTTGCTCCTATTAAAAGCACCTCTTGCTTTGCTCCTATTAAACGCACCTCTTGCTCCTATTAAAAGCACCCCTTGCTCCTATTAAACGCACCCCTTGCTCCTATTAAACGCACCACTTGCTCCTTTTAAACGCACCACGCGCCACTTGCTCCTTTTAAACGCACAACTTTTAACCGTAGGCATTATACAAATTGAATGTTACTTTCAATTTACATAGAAAGTTAATATTTAGCACAAAATCAGCTAATATTTGAACGCGCATCGAAATATTGCGAGTTATAAATGTTGTTTTTCGTTATAAAATTCACATTTCATGAAGATTACTGCTCCTTTAATTAGTAATTTAAATATAAGTTAATTTCAATTGGTGCATGATATTCAGCCAAAGTTTACCTCAGTCACTCATGAAAACGGTTCCTACTTTGATTATCGATTATACTTTGATTATCGATAATCATTTTTGATAAATAATTATAATCATACCGATTATGTGTGAGCAGCAGCGATGCGGCGCGGCTATCGGACATGGTGGTGGCCGTGGAAGACTTGGCGACGGTGCAGTTCGTGCTGGTGCCGTGCAGCCTTCCTAAGCAGCACGATAATGACGCCCATCCACGTGTTGTTGTTACGGGCAATAGGTGCCGCTCGACTTATTACTTCACAAATAATCGTACTAAAATCATTCATCGAACTATTCTAAACTAAGGTGTTTGAATGACGAACGAATAACTTTGAGTTGTTGTAGGTTTATTGTTTAAACTGAAACTCTGTAGCCTCCGTTTTCTCTTTTTCTGAAGTCTCAATTTTCAAATATTTGTATAAATTATCTGTGCTGCTAACTGTACTCGTTTTATTCCATGACTGGGACACAGATGTGGGTTGCGTGTGTTGTTACCTGTACCCGAGTCGCTGTTATGCTTCTTGTCTGAACATCACTGCGCTGCGGAGCCTCTTACGTTCAATGTTACGCCAGTTTTCTTCAACGTCGGTATTAACGAAGAGGTGATACAGTGCTTTTATATCCTTTATAATCTCTATTAATTTTCCAACATTCGCTTGTCTGGGCCTTTGACTAGTTTTTGGGAGCAGACTGCGTTCTTACTCGTTGAGGCGGTCACTGATCTTTGTGATCGTGTCAGCTTTGGGTTAAAGTCTCATTTTGACTCTCTTTCCTTTCTGATTCTTCTCTGAGGCAAGCTTCTTACTGAACATTTTCCAATCATTGTCCAGTAACTGTTCACATCCTGAGCATGGAGGAACCCCATACTTTGCATTAATGCGCTTTGAAATAATATTATATATTATTTCAAATTTCAATTTAGCTTATTTACAAATACTTGTGTCTTGTTTTTTGTGTTCTACAGACGATCACGTTCGTTATGTCAGACGATCACGTCATTTATTTTTCTTGAGAAATTTTAGAACGTAATGTTCGACATTGAATGATTGCAGGCAACGCTTGCTGGTAGACTGCGGCTGGAGGGACCTCAACATCGCAACAACTTGGATTCATTCCACCGACTGGCCGAGTACCACCACCGCTATGCCAAACTCGACCTCCCCGCCGACACTACGAGACGTTAGTCTTCAGATGCTTACACTGCCTCTAAAGTTTAGAAAAGTGATTGAAATATTTATCACCTGCAAGTGCTTTTAAAATTCATGATTAGAAATGAATCATAACGCTGCATTTTTCCCGTAAAAATAAAGAACAAACTGATACCGAGCTTATTGGATTAATCAATTATAATGTTTCTTTCTTAATCTCACAAGCTGTCAGGGTTTTTAGATTTGCTTTTAATATTCGGGATGGCGTTTGCAGGCAGCTGCTGCGGAAGCAATCGGCAATCATTGAGCGAACTCATGGAGCGTCTCTCGAAAGCCGTGCAGTCTTCCAAGAGCAAGAATACGGAGACGCTGCACCTGGCCGCTGCCGTGACCAGAGTCATGGGAGGTGAGTGGTCACTTCAACTCTGCTGTATTTATTCGAAGCGTGGTGCAGGGCGCAGATGTGAAGTAATACAAGCCTTGTTCGGCAGCTGCAAGCAAGTCTCCATTTACGAATTTTTACTAAATTATGATTGCTGAAGTGACCGCGAATAACTTCTGCTAAGACCAAATGGTCATATGAACTAAGTTAACATTTGAACTGAAAGACTCAATTGTAAAGTACAATAACTAATAATAAATAAAATTAGGCAATTACCATAAACGAAGATCAAAATTCCTAGTGAAGCATCGAACTTATTCTGTCGTATGATTGACTTGCGCAATGTGACATACAAACGGTTTATGTAAGGCGTATATTTTCCAGCTCGACAAAGTTCTCGTGCTTCAAGTGTTAAATGTTAACGTATCATAACGGTGCATATGCTGATAAATGATCGTTTGTATGCACAGGGATTCGCTTCACGTCGTGCAAGAGCGGCAAGGACAGGACTGGCATGAGCGTGACGCTGGAGCAAGTGAACCTCCTCACTACAGCCTTCGATTTAGCGCGCACTGAGCGCCACCAGAGCCTGCAGGCTATGCGCAGGTCAGGATCGCTGGACCAATCAGTAGATGTTTTCCGAAGAAATATCATTGATCTTGTTTTCAAGCTATTTGCTAAAGGAGATAATTCATTAGGTAAATCTCGTTACCAACCCATTTGTAGGACAATATTATTGTATCGGCAACTGTCGTTACCAAGGCTTTTGATGTACCAACTGTATTGAAAACAATAATGTAACTGTGGAAAAAGAGCTCAGGGAACCAACAACTACTAGCCACATGGATTGTTAAACGAATTCAACACTTGCAAATTTTATTTATATAGTCTTAAGTCAGAGTGCCACAAACGTAAACATCATTGAATCATCTTTCAATATTGTTCAATTGTGCTCATGTTTCATGAGATTTATTTTTTTTCATGAACTGGAATAAAATGCGTGATAAGATTATATTAAAAAGATGAAAAATAAAGGCCACCAACCTAACCTGTTGATGTCGAAAAAAAAATGTTAGAATCTGACTGGGTATTATAATTCTGAAAATTATACATTAGAACTAACTAGTTGATTTCATCATGTATTGCTTAGAAAAAATGTCAAGTTGAAAAAGATACATTCCCGATGTGAAGATTTTTTCCGATATTCTCTGGTAAATTGTAAAACTTATTTTGTCCAGGATGTCTGGTTAATTAATACATAAGTTTTGTAGGATTAAAAGTTCGACTACAATGTCATGATAAACAATATGATAAAATCCACGAATAAGCATAATGTTACACGGGTGGTGTGAAATATCGGGAATTTGTAATAGTTGTTAATGAAGAAACATTTCAATTGCAGTGACGGGACCCGGATCCTCAATTGCAAGAAGAACATAAGCGTCAAGAAGTTCGCGTTCAACGCGATGCAGTTAACTATGTTCCCTCGGGACTACGCACCCCCACCAGGCAGTTACGGCGCAACAGCAACTTGAATCGCTGGGGATTCGCCTCGAATTTATTACTATTTTAATTTTTGAGGATACGCAGTTGAGTATCGTGCAGTTCATTATAGTCCAGAAGTGAAGGAAATCTGGATTGAACAATCTAGATAGAATATTATGGCAGAGGCAAATGGAATGTTTCTGGTTTGACACGCTGCTGAACACATGTTACAAGTTATTTTGCCGGTTGTAATAATACTTACGATTACGTGTTTTCATCATGCAAGTCTTGAGCGGAGCAATGTTCTGGTGTATTAAGTGCGAAATATAGTCAAGTGATTGCGGATAGATTAAGAACAAGAATTATTTATATATCTGTTCAAATAAAACTCATTTCACGTAACGCTCTGTATTAAAACCTTTGAAAAATGTCGCACTACAAACAGTACCTCTAATTACATTCCCAACACATATTCAACACATTTATGCATGTTCAAAATACGTATGTCGGTCACAAATGTTTCTTGGGCCTTAAAGTGTGGTAAATGAAATCTGTGAGTTCTGTGTCATTAACATCATGTGAAGAGACAGGTATCAGCAAGAAGTACTCGACGGAATATTCATATTTAATTAATCCTCTATTTTGTCTAGATTGTATAATGTTGTCTCCAATATTCAGATACATGGACAAAAGTGCAAAAGCATAGCGCACTCTCTTTGTCTGGATGTTACTTTACTCTTGCCCGCTTTCAATACCTATAATCTGGTCTGGTTGTCATATTATGTAAACACAACAGTATCCATATTGAAATTTCTTGTTCAAACTTATAATAGTTTCTTCTTTTGACCCTGCACAAGAGTAGGTATTATAACGAGTTTGTTTTAGGGTTGTTCTTCATTGCTGCGTTCAGCCTGCATGATAATACAAACCATAACATAGAGAAAGATGGCCGTAAGGTGTGTTCCCTTTTTAGAACGGCTGAGCGTTGAGGTCGAGCAGGTCTTGCAAGTTGAGGTCCAATGCAGAGGCGGGGTTGTTCAGGTTGAACGCGGTGATCACGTCAGGATGCAACAGCCCCAATTTGCCGACCTCACGGCCGTTGAACATCACGCGGCCGCAGAACCCAGGCAAGAACGTTGGATCTACACAGAACGGCATCATTAATTTTAATATTAATCAGAAACTAGTCTGTAATTTGGTCTTGAGCTTTAGAATCGCTGCGACCTCACGTCGCATATCTAATCTATGGCATGGAATACTGAACTAAACCAAAATCAACTACAACGTCTTATTGGCACTGGCAGCAGTCTCGACAGTGAAAATTTACCGCCTAATCGTCAATTTTCTATGAGTACAATTAATCGACTTGTCCAATCAAGCAATGAATATAACCAATTTTGAGAAAACTAAGATTTCGCAACACTCACGATCTTTCCCCTCGAGCCAGTATCCTTGGCCCTGAGCTTCTTCATTGAAGGGGACCTTAAGAGCGAGCATGACGTGGTCTAGCAGCCCCTGCAACACCTCGACACCCGCGCGTACGTTGTAGTTGATGGCGCACAAGTGACGCTCGTTGCGTGCTCCGGTGCCGCGAGTGTGCGATGCTCTGTTGTCGCGGAGGCACACGTCTGATATCTGCAACACGAATAAACATAATGACGAGACTCAAGAACCATTTTGGTCGTAGTCTAAACAGAAGATAGAAGAACGGTAATATTCGTAGATCATTAAGTGAATATAACAACTTCATCGGAACTACTTTCAATTAAGTATCGCTTTCATGGTTAGTTTAGTTTCCGTTACTTATTTCAACATTGAGCGCCAATGTTAGGGTAAGACTGCAATTGCTCATATTATGGAATTTATCTAATCCTGTAATAAATCCTGATCTTCTGTTCTTTCAAGGATAGATAGCGCGATTCAGATTCTGAAGATAACGTCAACTTACCGATGCAGCTTTCATATTTCCAGCAAAAATATTAAGACACCAACTGATAATTGACCGAATTCTTTCAATTCCGGCTCGCGATTTAGCATTCTGCATATTAGTACCCAGTGTCATGTACTCTACGCGACTAATTTGAAGTCTTTGTAACATGCCCTTAACTTATTTCTCTACTAATGACAATACTAATCTTGTACACATTAGTACTTCAAAACAAGTCGCAAATGACAACAATTTGCATCCCAGAATTTAACAACCTAAACGTCTAATTTACAAGCAGACCACAACGTTAGTATTATTGTCCATAACGAAAGTCACCTCAAATAGCCTTAGAGGAAGAGCGATGTGCTTGTTGGCAGCAACGGTGCGCAATATTCCAGGCAGGAGAGACAGGCGTACGGCCTCACAGTCCACCGTCTTGGGGTTGCCCACTTCGACCAGTGGCTCGAGAGAAAGGTCTACTCGTAGCTTGTCTCCCAAGTCAGCCTACAGAGCAAGTAATCAGAAATGTATAGAGCAGAATCAATACCATTTAAATTTATGACAAAAAAAAACAAATAAACAGGAGAAAATAGATTTTTTAAAACAAGTTTCTTTAGATTCAAGTATTGACGAGTCCTGAAATAATTATTAAAAATATGCTCTGCAAGGAAACTGGAATTACGGATTAAAATTTTATGATGTACCTGGCATCACATAGCAGCTTTAAATCAGCTGAAACATTCAAGTTCGTTCATCAGGCTTGAGATGAAAATGAATACAAATATCGATTATATTGTAAGCAGACGATATGAACACGTACCCAACTGCACAATCCTGTCATTTTGAAGTTTAAAGATATTACTTCCAATACTACTTTCACATTAATTCAGAGATTGTTCAGAAAATACTGTTAATTTTTTATTTACCACCACATAATAATAAAATATCTGATGTGCTTACTTTGGAGCAGAGAGCAAAAGTGGCTGCCTCAGTGTAGTTGTTCTGAGAAAGCAAGACTCTGAGTTTGTCGGTGTAGTAGTTAAGTTGATATTCCTGGCCAATTGTGTTGGTGGGTGGCAGTTGGAGATCCTCAGCAAGTTTGTCAAAGCCGTAGGCCACGGCAAAGTCCTCAGCAACATCGCACTCGTGTAGAACATCATACCTTCAGAAATGAACAACTTAGGTTGTTAATAGGAAATATCTTTACACAAACTTCATGAATGAACCATGCATCGCTGTCGAACCAACATATTAGAAACAATAGGTTATTGATGTAATTTAAAGGAAAAATGTACGAAATAATCACTAGTTTTATTTAATTATAAGTAACAAATGAGTATTGATGTAATTAAAAGGTACAAACGGTTTAAAATCACTACTTCTCTCCGAATTAGAAGTAACATTTGGGTGTAGAGTTCACCTGGTGGGTGGAACTATGACAGCTACTTCTTCAGAGCTCGTAGCCTCAGCGCTGAGACCCATGAGGGCAAGTTTCTCAGCAATAAAATCTGCAGATTCGCTGACGCCCACTAGAGAGTTGCAATACTGCACTGACGCCTTGAGCGGTTTGTATTCCAGTACAGGAAATTGCTCAGTCTCACCACTGCTCTCGTACGTCACCTGTAATAGGTGAGACTTTCTTCATTACTGGTTCCACTACAGCTTAATCCCAATTAAAATAAGATAAAAATGCTTAAACATGTCTAAAAATTAGTTGCCACTTTCAACAAACGATATTTTTTAACAATGTAAGGTCAAAAACACTAGTATAATTAACGTTAAGATGACAGGAGGTATCCACCCAATGACGTGGAGAGGATTACAGCAAAAGGCGTGTAACTGAGGGCTGTATATGACCTACATTCACTGGCTCGACTGTAAAGGGCTTTTCACAGTAGCCACTGAACATGCAGACGAGAGTATCAAGGACGATTTGTGCTTTGAACTTGTCTGTTGCAGTGCATTCGATGAAAACATCTTTGGTGTTGAGCGTTATCTTGGAGTGGTCACCATTGATGATAGGAGGCATTGAGAGAACCACTCCTTTACTGTCAGTAATTATAGGGTAGACTGCAGAGTCCTGTAAATAGAGTAAGTAAATTACAGGGAAAACGTTTTCAGGAGAATTTTAATGAGTAAATTCATTATAGATTACTATTTCTTGATGCAACGCCATAGAGCAACATGTGTGATCAAATAAGGTACAACAGATCCAAATATAGAATACAAGAGTTAACAATGAGAAAGAGACCATTTTCATTACTTTTTATTGTTAGTGAAGCAACAATTTTCACAAAAAGATGAAGAGATATAATCTAGTGAAGTAAATTCAGTCTACTGGTAGCAGTAGTGGAGAACTTGGAAGCATCAAAACCTTGAAGCAAGAAACTGAAAGCCCCCTGAAGCTCACCTTGATGATAGGGACATACTCGCGCAGGTGCTGATCACTTGAGTAGAGTTCCATCAACTTGTCTGCTCGGTAGGCTGACGTTTTATTGAGTGGCACAAAATTGATTTCCTGGGGTGGCAAGGCATCATAAACAAAGGGTCCTGTGATGGTGCTAAGGTCGTGAGTACCTGAGGGGTGTAAGATGGATTAATAACAATAAATTCAAATGGATTCCAATTCATTGAGGTTGCAAGTGTCAATGGAAAATTAAATTATTTCCTAATGAGAATAAATGTTATGTTTGATTATAATTTATCATGTAGTACAAAGTAGTAAATACTGACAACTGAGAAAAATAGCTGAAAGAAGCAGGCATCAGACTGACAACTGCCACATAAATATGCAAAGATCAACCAAGGACAACATTCTTAAATATAAAGCTTTTAATTTAGTTAAACTTACCAATAGCCACCAGAGTTCGTTTTCTGGCAATATTTTGGTGAAGTTTATCTTGAAGAGCAATGAATGAATCATATCTTGCTTGATTGAAAGTGATGCCACGCAGCACAGCACCCACACAGTACTGTCGTATCTGAGTGAAATCAATCAGGTATTTACTTTCTTTATTTATAACAGCACGAGAATAATGAAAATTAGCTTACATAAAGAATATTTGAAATATTTTGTATGCATCAAGCCAAATTCAGAATTGTGCCATACATAAATCAAAATTTCTTGTGCTGTTTGAATAATTCAAGACTAAATATCAGCCTTTTGCCATTTTTTATACCTCTCAATAAATATTCAAGTAATTAGTAGAAACAAATTCAAGTTTCAAGTAATAAACAAGAAACAAATAATAACACACTTGTTTCAGCTACTTGCTGGAGGTTCAGTGCCAGAAATTATATTTTATTTCAAGATACATTTATCCCTGATTCATTAACCATGCAATTAAAGTTTATGGCAAGAGCTAAAAAGTGCAATATCCCTCACCTGTGCAGTGGCTGGTTTGACAATAATTGTTTGCTGGTCTGTGTTCTTGGGGTCAGTGATCCGATAATGTGGGGTTGCCACATTACCCAAGTATATATTCAGAGCCTGACCAATGCCCTCAACACACAACAGGTCATACCTGAAATAATAAATTGACGGAATAATTACTTTGCAATAACTCAAAAATTTTTATAATGCTACACAGGGTTAATAATATGTTTTCAGCATTTTTTTCAACTAAGAAAGACAGGATATACTATATTATAATGTAATTTTGATCATACCAAGTTCAGGTTAAAATTTGTAGAAGTTATTTAAGCTTATACAGCATTCTTTCACAATACTCAAACAAATAAAATTTAATTTGTGTTAGAGTAGAGTAAATTAGTAGTACGTATACTGGTTTGCTAGCGCTTCAGCTATCAAGCTATTTTGCACTGAAGGTCATAATGTAACATCGCCAGCTAGGCAGAAGGTCTTCTTTGTTCAAAATCTCAAATTAATCATCACCCACACGCGGCAGAAGGTCTCAATTGTCCAGCCCACTGAAGCTGGCTCGAAAGAAGCAGCGTTAGCATCTCTAAAAGACAAAGTGACAAGGAGGGACACATGAAAAGCAACAGAAACGAAGACACTCGAACAAGAGGTTGCTTACACGGGACGTCGGCCGCCCGCACGAGAGAGACAGAGAAGGGAAATGTAAGGAATCCTACCTACATAATAACTTAACCCCACAACTGAGGCCTGCAGTCAGACACTGCATGCTCAGTGGTAGGGCGCTCAGGAACAATCCCCCTAGGAGCACAAAATCCCATAGGACTTCTGATGAGCACAGACACGTGTCAAAAGTCCCCCCTGAGGGGTAATTTGTGTTAGGCTTAACATTAATTCCACATTTAGGCAGTGAATTAAGTAAGGAGGCAATATCATACATTTCACAACATTTTGCAAAAAAATATTTGCCATAGATATAACCAATTTTGACAAATATTCTTGGAAAGAAAGGTAGTTCTGGCAAATAATACTATCAAACTGGGTAATAAGGGACAATTTTGAGAGTTTTTTGTTAATAACTTCTGGCCACGAAACAGTTCCTAAACAAGTTTGAGCTCAATTTAAAGGCCTTCGTATGGGCTATTGTATGGTATCTTTGCAAAATTCCATATGCTATTTGTAAATTGCCAGACACAAAATAAAAGCATCTCTAATGACCCCTGGGAATAGGGTAATCTGGAACACTTGAAATAAAACTTAATTTTAAAACATTTGAAGCATGCATCAGTGTACTCATCCATTACCAATAGTACTCAGAAGTCCTCCTCTACCTTTATAGATGATGTAGATGTAGAATAAATGAGATTTTCTGTGATTTTTCCTTGTTTTCTTTTATTGATATGATATTACCATATCCATACATTACCATATTAATGATGTGACAGTACTGTATCCATGGATATACTACCATTGAGCATAGGCAACAACCTTGTCCACTGCAAGCTTTATATCAGCAGCCATGTAGCATTTATTCTGTATCTGTAAGCTTACAGGATGGCTTGTAATTTTGCACCATTTAAGTTAGGTCAAGTGAATTCACTATAAAAAAAAGATAATAAAAAACATACCTGAAACAGAATGGAATACCGTCAAATGGGGTAAAAAGGGACGGGCGGGGTAAATAGGGACGCGCTTCCCACATTTCGTAGAAATGTTGTAGCAGCTAAACTAATCAAAATATTGCAAAATTAAATATAGTGGCATAAACCTCAACATTTTTACTATCTATTATGTATAAAGCTAGTCAAGAAATCAAACATTTACTATCTCTAAAAAAATTGCTGAAAAAAGTGTGAAAAGTGCGGTTTTGGAAAAGTACATCTGCTAAGGTCTAGAGCAAAAAAAAAAAAAAAATATTTGCCGTATTGAAAAATTTTACTTACATAAAAGTTGCACCCAGGTGTTGGCTTGAAAACGTAATTGGCAGATTTTGCCTATCTCATTCCAAAAAAAAATGGCGGCCATTTCATTTACATTACAATGTTTATGTTTTTTCTGCAAGATATTTTTGGCGGAAACGGTAAAGCAATGCGGATTGCGGAAGTTGAAAATTTTATGAAATGACATGTTTGCGAAGTGCAAACCGCAATTTTTTAATCGAACAAAAATTTATGACATTCGAGCCGCGATTTCATACCTACTGAAATTATATGATATTAGAGCCGCGATATTTCAGACAAAAATAGGACTTTTCCAGACTAGCCTCAGGGTACTGTTAGTAATGGATGAGTATGCTCTGCATGCTTCAAGTGTTTTAAAATGAAGTTTCATTCCCAGTGTCCCGAGTAGCCCCGTTTGACGGGGCTTCGGGGCTACTCGGGACACTCTTTTTTTGCTTCTGGCACCTTATGAATAGCATAAGGAATTTTTTTGAAGATGCCATTCGATAGCCCTCGCAAAGAGCTATAAAATGAGCCTAAACTTGTTTATGAAATGTTTCATCGTAAGAAGTTATTAACAAAAAATGCTCAAAACCGTCCCGAGTAGCCCCGGTTGACGCCTTGACGGTAGCAATAAATTAAAACTTGCTCAGTGAGTCAGTGTTAACTTTAATTCTTTATGACAAATAGCCAAATATTTATTACTTAATTACAGGATCTTACCTATTAGCTCCAACCTCAATTTTATATGCAGTAGAACCATCTTCCTCCACAGTTACATCATCCAACTCAATGCCATACTGGAAGCACAGCTCGTCAAACTCTTTTTCTTCTGTGAACAAAAAATAAATTCATTAGCTTTGTCCTGAACAAAGAAGTGAATAACCTTCAGCACTAAACAAAAATGTTTTGAATATTATTTCTCAAGCATTTACTATTGTATTGACAATACACATAGTATTTATAGTAATTCAAGATGGAACTGAAAAAAATTTATCATGAAAATAGGCTACATACCATAAGTTCTTCCCAAAATTTGAAAGAGTATATCTCGATTGACAGAAACGGTTGGCATTTCAAATAATTTTCTGTGAAATTATGAAGAAGTAAATTAACTTATAATGTTAAAAAAATTCACATATAATTTTCCGTTTAGTATTTAAAGCTAGGCAGACGGCATTCACGTCACGCGGTTCCTGCAAGACACCAACTATCTCTGCATCACCTTATCCGGAATACAGGAAACCCGAAGCTGACACAATCCGTTAGTTCATGGGAAATCATCACTGGGAATTCCATGGTTGAACTAGTGACGGAACGCTGAACTGAAAGACGGAACTTCTCGTTGGTCAATATTATATAGTTCAACCATGATTGAACTAGTATATAGTTCAACCATGGGGAATTCAACCATCTTGGTGCCGAGGTGCGTACTTTTGGATCCATATGAGCTATGCAAATAAATTAAAATAATTACTGCTAAAACACTTACCTTCATCTGCCAATGAGATTGTAGCTGCGTTTTGATGTTGACAAGTGTAAGTACCTCACCTCGGGAAGAACAATGAACAGGGAGATTACAGTATGAGAAGACATGGTTGCAATGAGAGAGTATTGATTTGAAAGTCGAGTGTGAAAAAAGATCTGGGAGTTTGTGTCGACAAGGAGCTGAAATTTTCTAAGCATATTGAAACGCAAGCTAATAAATCCAATAAGCTTCTTGGACTGCTCAGACGCTCTTACTGGATGCAGAAGCGACGAAGCAGTTTTTTGTTGCTGTCGTGCGCCGGAACCTAGAGTTTGGAAACGCCGTGTGGTCACCGAAACTTGAAACGGACAAAAAAATAACGGAGTGTTCAAAGACGTGCAGCAAAGGGAGCGCAGCCGCGCATCACCAATTTTGTGCAACATTAAGCCCTGAATCGATCGCTTTGAATCTCTCCGGACATCCACCAATCAGCCGTGAACCACTCGGTTTTGTCCTCTGGCTTTGCATGAAACCTGCCATGCACCACCAGGCCGCGGATCGAATATGACTTCCGGGCATCGTTAAATTACGTAATTTTACGTTCACCGCATCTGGAGTTAGGTTTCAGATAGCATAGTTCTGTTCCAAAATTTATCGTCCTTCGACCAGTGGCCGTTCGACTGAGGGCTGGTTCGACGCACGGCCTAGATATGATTGTCCAGAAGTGTTGAAGGCTACATTCCGGAAGGCTTGAATCATGATGGTCCATTACATCCAGAGTAGTGGCGGTCTTCGGCAGGCGACCCACAACAAGGATAATTCCAGGCTTGAAAGGAAGTCCTATGAAGAAAAATTCAAGATTATGAAGCTTCCAAGCCTCTGTTATCGGCGTCTGCGTGGTGACCACATTGAAGTATACGAGTATATCATAGTTTATACAAGGTCACAGAAGGATCACTGGAATTTGAAACAAGAAAGTTTATAGCCGTGGAAGGGGCCACGTCTATAAACTGAAACTAAAAAAAACTGCGTTGCAACTCATCCACACGACATTTCTTCTCGCTTTGGATCACCGACAAGTGGAACAGCCTCTCCGATTGCATTGTGGACGCTCCGAGTACAAACGTGCTCATGCAGGAACAGATTAGATAAAGCTATCTAGAAATATATGGTTCAGACTTGAAATGCCTAGCACCATGTCGAACTGGGTCTAAGTCTTGTTGCTATTTCAAACTATCGACAGTTTGGAAAAGATCCGGTCGAATGACCTGTTTTTTAGATCTCCTGTGGGCAAGTCACGGAAAGTACAAGAATCGGCGACAGGCTACATCATGCCTATTCTTCAGCGCTGACATCACTATGCTATGCTATGCTACATTAAGCGAAGATTAGGATTTTGCTTCATATCTAAATTTTTGTGCATTTAATCGGTCATAACAGAATACCAAGTTACCATAACCCACCTTATAGGGTCTAACAACGAAAAAATATGCACAAATGGATTAATATTTTTTAACGTGGAATCAAATTAAAACCAAATTTAAATAGAACAGAAGTACTGGAAGTATTTCCATTCTCTCTATATATATAGGTTGACTGTTAATAAATATTATGTACCTTGATAAAGCCCTGCGCCACTGTAACTGCTCACAGCGACCTCCAAATGTTCAACAGCTGCATCAAGTTTAATTCCCGCGTCATCATATCAAACATCAACACTTGTTTTCATAAGAAAACACTGAAATGAAGCTTTTCATACAAAATAATTCATAACATAGTTGAAGGAAATTAGTAATATGAAAATTATATAGTATTATTGCTTACAAGATTAGGCCCTGTCTGGCTCGTACTGTAGTAGACAAAAGGGGACATCGCAGAGCTGTTCGTAGAAAGCTGACACAAAACCCGAAACTCTCTGCTCCAATTTTGCTATTCTCAACCACGTACGCCAATATCGAACAAAATTTCTCGGAAGTTCGTGGTTAGACTTGAACTCGCGACTCACTACTTCAAATTTAAGCCTCTTAAACACTCAGCCATCTTGCTGATAATAAATGAGAAGTCTCGTGTTCTGTTCAGTTTCCATGTGATGAGAGACTGGCGACATTGCTAGCTGCAAATCTTTTTCACTATATAGAAAGGATATCTCCAGACTCTTCACCATTATTCGTTGATGTAAAACTTAAAAATGTTGCAGAAGTAGTAGTAGTTTCATCAACAGAAAAGAACATGTAGTGCTAATGGCTTCTAACAAACGTACGTAGTGATCCTGTTAGTGATTCAAAATCTAAGTAAGATTAATTTCTGCATCAATTATTATTAACCCCAAAAGAAATTACGATGGTTTTGAGAGCTGGCATTTTATGCAACGTTAACTGGCGTGAAGTGCACCAATAATTGTGCTGACAGACATTGTAAAAATTTTACGAACTTGTAGCAATACTCCCATTTATAATTGGTGTGTGCGTCCATGCAATTCTTGATATAAGCTTTTAGCAGGATTGAAAATGGACAGCCGCTTGATATTAGGAAATATTTTTTAAAATAATTTTTTTATTTTATCTTATGGACAGCACACTTGCTCGGTGCATGCACCTGCATCCAATGAATGCGCTAGTTTGAAGTCGATACTACGCTACGACAGAACGCTCAACTCATGAATAATTTGTGTATGTATGTGAAATTCTTAAAAATGCTCAAAGATATTCAAAAGCTACATAAAAACAGTTTGATATGATTTCTGTGAATTTACTTAACAGGGTCATACGGATGTAATCAAAGTCGTTTTCATAAGTACTTTGGGTAAGTGGTTATGAACGGTAGTTCAGCTCTTTTTTAACACATGTTCAGATCAAGTTTACTTATCTTCTGTACGTACATTTTTTTATATTTCAGTAACCATGTGACATGTTGGATTTATTTGGGCAGTTTGTGTCTGATGGCGTGGTGTTGATTTTAACCGTAGATTTAAAGTTTACATGAGTGTGCTTATTCACCAGTAATTTTTGGCTTCAACTTGTACGTAAAGAGTCAATATTTTCGGTAAAAATTATATGAGAACACTTGAATAGCACAAGTGTCGGGCCAATAGACGAGGTTGCTCAGCTCTCTCTGGCTGGTACCGTCAGTGTTCGGCTACTCATTGTTCCGTTTGAAAGTCTGCATGCCGCAGAAATGTGTTGAATTATGTACGGCATTAGAGTTTTCACAAGTTTTTTGTACATGTTCATCGGTTAAAAATAATATTGATATTGATCGTATTTATATTGATAATGACAACCTAAAAAAGACGTACCTTAATTACGTATCATATCTATATACGCCTCATTTTGAAGCTAGTATTAATTCAATATTATCTAAATTTACATCCAAACTTGTCCAGTTTTTTTTTCTATTCTCGAAAATGGAAACGATATCCGACAATATTTAAATTATATCTAACATAAAAAACATAGCTATCTAAACTCGTTTGTGAATTTTGCTGTGAAAACGCATTTACATTGACAAGATATCAAAAATATCTATACTTAACTAATTAATTAATACCTGGTGACACTGCCGGGAACTGACCAGCATGAAGTCGATCAATTTGAGGCGTACGCCTAAAAATGTGATATATGCGCTGATTTTGCTGTGCTTCTCGCTGTACGCCATCTTCCACCTCGGGGGATGGGACCATAGCACGTGAGTACAAGAGTTTAACAATGATTGCATCAAATTTTACGACAACAATTAAATGTGGTGCCCAAGGTTTTGGAGATCTAGTTCCAAAGAATTTTAGGGGGAAAAACCTGAAAATTCAACGAAAAAATTGTTATATGTGTCACTGAACCTTGCAGAAAGATATCACTTAAGTAAAACATGCTAGGCGAAGTTTCCTGCTGGTCCTAATGCTCGTTTCTTATAAAACAGATCTTCTCTCTCGTTCTTGCGCCGCTCCGAAGTAATGGCGAGCTTCAAAAACACAGATGAAGAACAACGACAATTCAGTCTCCAGCAGAAACTGCAATCAAATCCACTGGTGAAGCAACAGCAAGGACAAAAGGAAGATCGTCAGCAACAACGAGACAAACAGAAGCAAACGAACCAACAAATGAAGCCAGACAAGCAGCGTCAGCAAGACAAACAGCATCAGGATCAACTGCAAAATCTATTGGAGCAACACCGTTTCAAGTTGTCAGGCGTGAAGCAAGGTTGGTTGTATTATAATAGAGCTAATCGTTCAGTTCGTCACTGAGTTCTAGTGGATAATTATTAGTTTCTTCAAATAATATACATTTAAAAATTAATTTTTAGAGACAACACTTTCACGAGGCCTGCAGTGTCTCCGATGTTACACATTTACGCAATAACTTCTTAATATATTTTATAAATAGAGAAAAATAATTTTTAATTTTTTATTTCTTAAATTATTTAATCTGTCTATTGATTGAAGCATTGTCCCCAACCTTACGCAAGTGTGCAAAATTTCAGATCGATTGGACAGGTAGGTAGAATTAAGTGTGTGAAATATCGATTATAAGATTTGTAGCGGACAAACAACTTAAGAAATCAAGTTAAAGAGAAGTGTTGTAATCATAAAAACAGGCGGAAAAAAAGTTCCTTCGACGAATCATTAACCCAATGCATTCGAACAGGCAAAAAGACTTTAACGACTCTATTTATTGATTGAAACTATCTATTGAAAAGACTGTGAAAATATTAGCTTATGATATGCGATCAAATTTAGTCTCTTCCATTTCATCAATGTAATCTAAAATCTTTGGAAGCACGTAATATGCGAAATTTATTTTTTGTGAATGAGTAGAAACGTAATTAGTTTGAAATGTTGAATTTGATCGCAAATTTCAAAGTGTGCGCAATTATTTTTCTTGAATGAGTAAAAACATACCATGTTTGAGAAGTTTATCGCTAATTTCAAAGCTTGCGTAATTATCTTTTGAATAACCAAGAGTTGAATCGTAAAAAAATTTAACATGCACCAACAAAATTGGATTAATCAGGTATCTGATTTTCTCGCTTACCAACTCAATTTACTCCCGTTCATACAAGAACTAAGTTCGTCCAGCCTTTTGAATAAACAAAACCATGCAATTAGGACAACTTTTTCAATCAATTTTCAGCTAAGCAGGGCCATTAATTGCTTCTGTCAGATTTTCATGAATATCAGGTTTCTCATAAGTGAGTGTACGCGGGCTGACGCTTAAATCAAACTAAACAGAGATGAAATGTTTTTGGGACCGCCGAAAATGACTGTACAGCTCAACTCTGGAATAGCTTGCCCGCCCGTTTATTGATCCGAGTATTGATCCCCAGACAAAATATTCGATATTTCTACAGAAAAATTAAAAATCATGTAACAAATAATGACAAAATTTATCGCAGAATTTTCATATTTTACCAATGTCAATCATCCGAAAGAATTCAAATCGATTAATTCTTTTCATTGACCCGTTATCGATTTGAAATAATTAAGTATGTCTAATTAGTAATTACACTGCTGTGACACGCTATTTACTGAGTTCGAAGAGCCGTGCATTGAAGCTGGTAAACAAATCTATATCTTTGTGCTGATCAATAAAGATGCTCTGTCATGTTTTGGTGAACATGTAAAATTCTAAATTCATACGAAAAAAAACACGCCAACGAAAAATCTTAGGTAGAGTATCCTTGTTTAAATCGTGCTGGGAATGCAATCCAAGACCCGAGTATATTGACTGGACTGGGTTTATTCGCGGGTTAACTGAATTAAGTAAACCGTAATTGTCGTTCTAAGGTAAAGAGTATGTAAAAATAGGCTTGAAATTGGGCGCTGGCTAATCCGGCTTGAACGATGTTCCTGCTAAGCTGGACGTCATCTTAGTTTATTTAGTGATTAGGTGTAAGGCACAAACTGCGGAATTTCATTAAGCTACTTAAGTTGTACTTGCGTATTTTTACCACTTTTAGTTTACGACTGTAAATCTTTGTTCCTTAGCTAATATATGTAAAATGGTGAGTGACAATTTATTATTTTCAAATCATAGTTCGTTGAAGTTTTTAGCAATTCAAACACAACTTAATTATCGGCAATTCGGTAACAAGGTTACTTACGACATGAATTAATTTCTAATTACTGCTGCTCGCTACTTACAATGATGGAACGATAAGAATTTCCCTTAACGAAATTTTCAATATTCCTTCAATATAGGAACAACAGTTCATTCTGCATCAATATCCGGCAACGTTCCGAGAAACATTAAGTCTTCCAGATAATAGAGGAAAGCATTATGTAGTTTCAAAGTCTTGCTTTCTTGCTTAAAAATTCTTGCAGAACTGCCTAAAGAAACTGAAGGAAAACAGGTCGACCAAAATTCCGAAACAAATGGACCGCTGGAGAAAGGCGATCTTCTTGGTCCAAAATTCAAGAATTTCAAGAAAATTCTTTACTGGAATGATGTAAGTTGTCCCACGAATGGCTGCGGATGTGAATAAAAGGATAATAAAAAATGTTCGTTCCAGCGCTGAACTTGGAATTGTTTCTTCGCATGGTTTCATAAATTTCAGAAGAAATTATGAAGGCGGTGCAAAATCAGTAACGTCAAATTTCAAATTGTCAATTATAAAATTTGAAAATAAGTTTAAATCAAATAAACTAAAAGTAATTAGCTACAAGTACGTTTTTCGCGCTAACCTTTCTCCGATTCCAGGCCTACGGAACCGAAGATTTTTGGCTCGGCCTCGGCCAGAAGCCGTTCATTGAGGCGGGCTGCCGCGTCACCGAGTGCTTCGCTACCCACGACCGGCAGCTGCTGCCAGCTGAGCGAGCCGACGCCATCTTGTGGCATTCGAGATCTAACGACAAGTCTCTTCCCAAAGTTAGGTGAGACTTTTTAAGAGAATTAGTTCACTAACAAATATTGGCTAGTCACTGACTAGAATCTAGATAATTCCGCAACGCATTTAGTTCAGCCGCCGGTTTCACTAAATAGACTCGCTCTACCGGTAGTTCAACCAAATAAGATGACTACCCAAATTTTTTACGCTTATCTAGCTATTTATTTAATATCATTTCACAGAATAAAAAATTACGTTAATCTTGGATTAAAACCGTGATGAAGGAAAATGTTGTACATTAATGCTCACAAATTGTGCGACTGACATTTTGACCCGCATTAACCAATAAATTAAAACAATTGACATTTAAAAAGCATATAAATCGCACAATTCATGATCATTAACATGCAGAGTTTTTCCAAGTATTTTACCCGCAATTGTTTTAATACAAAGTTTATATACTATGTATCACTGCCCGCAGATTGCGAATAGCTGGTTAAGCGGGAAAATTTTCAGGTTATCGCAACTAACAACACGGGCCTTAATCTCTGGATGCCGATTCCTACCTGTACATTTGTCTGTTCCTTGACGATTATCCATATATAAGTTTTTATAAATTCGACAAATCCTCGATAATTATTCTCAGATGCCCATGAATAGTTGGGTTATATTTTTAAACCAGCACCAACATGTTGGGTGTGCGCGCCATAAAGAATCAGACAATTTCGCGAAAAAGTCTTGCGCCGCTAGCGTGAATCGCAGCTGAGCTCTTGCCTAGCATTGTCATTTGATCAATCAATTTCACACATAACGCTGTTTAAAGATGAGTTTTACTAGATGGTTATGGAAATTTAAAAGTATACTGAAGATTTTCGGTTTAATTGTTCGATCGCCAATTGCTTTGATTCTGTCAGGTTGGTTTCCGTAGTGGCATAGTTTAGGCGCGTATTAAAAGTTCTCGTATGAAATAGGTTACGTCAAAAAATCGTACAGAGAGAGGGTTGCAATAAAGCACTGGTACATTTAATATTAAATTTGATAATTCAAGTTCACATCCTACGTTAACAAAAATCTTTAGAAAATAAATAATGAAATCCGAACACAAAGTTAAAAATCTATGAGTTTACATCACTCAAACTTCCAAATTACCAGAAAACGTTGATCCGTCGCAGTTCCGTTGAGTAGTACGACTATCGTAAACGACAGTAATGAATGCACACGTTTGCAGCCGTATTCCTATGGCCATACCTCAGCGCCGTAGACGCGCATCCCCGCTGGCCGCGGTCGCTTTTCTCCATCGCCTTCGTGTCTCGCTGTTATAGATGTCTCACGGACAGTCTGGCCGTAGGTTGTTTTATCACGACCGTACTTCTGAATAGTGGCTTTCGTCTTCATACTCGATAATGTTATTCCAAGCTCCTTGCCTTACTTCTGCCGCTGGTGATCGTGCACTGGACAGCTACTGATCGACGATGGCTGTGACCTTAAGGTGCTTGTACACGGGGATAGTGCAGATGGCTATATAAATCTGGCAAGTGTCGGTCGCTTGGTGACTATCCGGCAAGTAGCTAAGCCTGTTAACACGATGACAGTATAATGTGCCGCTATCTTCTCGTTCGCGCCCGCCAGTGCGTTCTTAGAAGTGGAACTAAGAACGCCAGTGCGTTCTTAGTGAGTTCTACGAAGATGGATAGTGGGATCACTTCAACAACTCGAGTCTGTACGTCGTTTTTATACTCTTTATTCTAGCCTTTAAAAATGCAACGTCGGGGACAATTAAACCCTGACTAATGAAAGGTCTTCTTTCAGTTTCAAAATACTCGTTTCTCTCTTCATTTCGTTGGAGTAACCATCATGGCAAACATTCCACTTTAATTCATATTTTTGGAATATTTCGAAGAAAAATAGAATATCGTCTGGAATCCACTTTTTGGTTTCTTCTTAAAACCATTATCGTTCTAACAAGCCATGACTCACTTGACCCAAGATACTTCACAAGAGCGGCACAGATGCTCTCACCATGGCTGCATCAGCGCTACTAGCCACTTCTCCAGCGAAGAAATCAACACATCGTTGTCCCTCTCGGCCGCGTCTCGAGCGCATGCCTCTGAAGCGGCATGAACCCCTCCTTATACACGAATCTAGTAGCGTGGACAGTTCAAGTGGCGGGTGAGCTAGCGGCTAGTGTTATCCCTGTCTACAGGCACCTTTACCGTGCTGATGACCGTACCGTAATATATTTCTCGCGCTGTGCTCAAAACTTGAATCTTCATGATTGCCAGCGTTATAATCGTCGGAGGTCTCGTGGCCTCTCGCGTTGTCTCAGGCTGAGTCGCAGCCGGAGTGCTGATGTTAACCGTACATAAGTATTTCGAAGTCGTGGCTGTTCCTTGTCGATTTTAAACGCGCACACAGGAATAGTAGCTGCCTCGATGAGCCTAGGTTTCTCGCGACGTTAATGTTCGAAAACGGCGGAACCGCCGGGTTCACGGCCGCGGCCGTCACAAAGCCCGCAGAGTGCACACCGTGTTAGTGACCATGACTACAGTTGAACAATCTTTTGGCGCGAATTTAAGAGTCCTTATATAGACAGACGTCGCGCACACACAAGCCTACCAAGGAACGCCGCGACAGTTTCGAGTTCCACAAGGGTCAGGCATTTCGATACCCTCGGTCATTTCAAACTTGTAAACAAACTCGCTCTCACGGTTTTCTACCCCAAATTTGTGGTCAAGTCACATCATGCCTATAATTGCTTAACAAAGCTCAGTACTTCTCCACTTCACAACATAAGCCATTTTCAATATTATAGTTTACAATTGAGTCGGAATTACCTACGCTTTATTCAACGCTTTTAAAAAATATCGCATTATTTCTTTATTTTAGAAGCATTTTATCATAATATTTCTGATCATCACGACTAAATACAACTCATCCCATAAAGCTTCGCATTCTAACGTGTTTTAATCATTTCATGTAATTCACGCGAATAAAATTGATTTACCTCAAGCCGTTCATTTCTGTCTACATCGATGTTCAATATTATGATTATCATTAATATTTAACTATTGTTATCAAATCACTTATAAATCACACAAACTTTCATTCCAGGTCTCCTCATACCTTCTACATCTTCTGGTTGATCGAGAGCGCGAGTTACCCATACGGGGACCTCAACACCTACAACGGCGTCTTCAACTGGACCATGACTTATCGTCTCGACTCTGACTTCCCACGACCGTAAAATTTCACCAGATCCTAGCATGATTTACTTTAAAGAAACTGAACTTCGTCCATCTCTAAACTTTGCAACAAAAATGACACCGCATTACTGAAGATTTAGAACAATAATGAATTTAGACTGTCGATGTTTATTGCCATTCAAAACTCATTTCAAATTAATGATCAACAGGTACGGGAGTATAGTGTTCTCACCCAACGTCTCAGCCAAGACTGCCGCACCCAAAAATTACGCTCATGGGAAAACTAAACTGGCCGCCTGGTTTGTCAGTAACTGCCACACCATCAGCGGCAGAGAGCAGTGAGTTTGAAAATACTCCAACAATATGATGATATCTTATAAATTGCAAATTTTAATTTCCTACAGAATCATTGCGACTCTCATTTTGACGTTTGAGATAGAAATAAGTGTTTGTGAATGGCCTCGACAGCCTGGTGAAGGTTCTACAGACACACATGGACGTGGACATCTATGGAGGATGCGGGACGTTAATTTGTACGAGAAAAGAGAGCAAAAAATGCAAGGAGATGCTGGAGAAAGACTACAAATTCTACTTGGCCTTCGAGAACAGCCTTTGTGTAGACTACATCACCGAGAAATTTTTCGACACTATCAAGTGAGCGAATAAGGTTTGGTACTCGACTTCCTTTTTTCAACACAATTTTGGAAGAGCTCGATGCAAATGAGTTGTAATAGAGAAACTGCGAGATTTCTTGCTTTTAATGAGGTTTAATACTTTCTATATGCATTAATAGTGTTAAAAATAGACTTCAAGAACATTTTACTTCAGGTGCGCAATGTGGACATGAAAACAAATGAACATAAATTTACGAACAAAACTTTTGTGTTAACACGGCACACCGGGCACAGTTATTCAAATTACCCAACCAACGTGGTTCATTCCGCGTATGGCTATTGCTGCATAATGGAGCTAGAAGAAAAGAATCAACCGAGATTATAGCATAGTGGGAGCATCCAATACTTATAAACCTTACACAAGTGCGTTCCTCCACCGACAGGTACAACGTGGTGCCTGTCGTCTATGGCCTCGGCTACAAAAGAACTCAAATTCCCAAGGGCGCCTACATTGACGTCATGGACTTTGCCTCCGTACAAGAACTGGCGAGCTATCTACTCTACCTGGACTCGAACGACACGGCTTACAATGAGTACTTCAGGTTAAAATTTAGCGATTATTATCTACTCTACCTGGACTCGAACGACACGGCTTANAGCGATTAATATCTACTCTACCTGGATGCGAATGGCACGGCTTACAATGAGTACTTCAGGTTAAAATTTAGCGATTAATATCTACTCTACCTGGACTCGAACGACACGGCTTACAATGAGTACTTCAGGATAAAATTTAGCGATTAATATCTACTCTACCTGGATGCGAGTGGCACGGCTTACAATGAGTACTTCAGGTTAAAATTTAGCGGTTAATATCTACCATATCTGGACTCGAACGACACGGCTTACAATAAGTATGTACTTCAGGTTAAAATCTATCGACTGAAATCTACCTTATCTGGACTGGAATGACACGGCTTCTAATGAATACTTTAGGTTAAATCTTGGAACAAATAATTGTATTACGGCTTTTCTGGACCAAAGTTCCTTTTCCTATTCTACGCAATATTTTCTGAACCACTCAGACTGCAAATTCAGTTGATTGAAAATATATGACATTCCGTTAAAATAGCATGAATTGTGGGTGTACTTACCTGTTGGTCGCGTCAGACTGAACAGTGATGTTGAATTTTAAAGGTTTTTGCTGCATATAGAGACCTTATGTTGTTACGATAACGCCTTGAAAAATTTACTAGGAAGAAACACCGCATAATTATACGCTGATTTTTTACACAAGGTGGAAAGAAGATGGCTACAAAGCATTGGAAGTGATAAATGATGTGTACATACAAGCTTTCTGCGACGTATGTGAAAGGCTTCACGAAGCTGAAGACAGGACTGTGGTTGACGTTGCTTCAAACGACGGTGTGCACGTAAACAAAAGTGGACAACAGTTTCAACGTCCAATGATCAAAGAAAAGTATCGAAAGGTTTACAATATCAACGAATGGTTTGCTACTGGACAGTGCATTTCCCCCAACAACAATGAAAAGCTCAAAAGTTTCGTTCATGGGTAAGTTGTAACTAAGATTAACTAAGATTCAACTTTTCTCATCAAGTCTAGTTGTGTCAATTAAAAACCTTTCAACAATAAATGACTACAAAATAGTCCGCTTCAATCGTTAATTATTCCGAAAATTTTAAAAATAGTAAATTTAGGAGCGAACTATTCATGTATTCGAATTTTATTTAAGAGCGCATGATGGCATACACGAACCTATTAAAAATTTCTATTTTAATGAACGGATAAATTATACTTTTGTTATCCATGCAATCATGAATCCATGCAACCGTCCGTGCTTTAAAATCGTGATTGTTGAATATCATGGTCCTGTGCACAGCGAGTTTTATAACTTAAATTGTGCATTGTGCAACCATGGTGAATAATCACACTGCCTAAGGCCCTTGAAATCAAGTTGGTCGCAATACTTGTAAATGTAGGACAAAAAATCATAATTTAAATGCTTCTGCGCCTAGGCGTGTCTTGATATTGGAAGGCTTACCCGGTGTTGCTCTGGAGAAATAATTCCGACGAGCTGAAAATCATGTTTAAACGAATATAGAATCCGCGAAGCAATTTTAAAAATTAAGTAGGTTAATTATATAAAGATCCCAACACACATTTAGACCGCAAGTGCCATTGAAATCATCTATTGATATTAGAAACAACTTTATTTTAATTATTAAATGAAATTAACGAGTCAAAATTTGATAATCTCGATTCGTCTTCTTAATTCACTCTTCCTTCTCCCTTTTGCAATTGATTACTTTCCCCATAATACTGAGAAAAACGTGACGACAGGATATATATTGCAGCTACGCGCTCGAATAGCTCGCGTATATTCTAAATATCATACAGCGCCAGGCGAAATCAACAAACAAACAAAGGAACTTTCACTATTTTTGTAATGGATTACCAAAAGCAGGAAAAAATGAATTACAAAAAATAATGCTATTCGAGTTCAAAATTCCGTTTAGACATAAGAATAACACTTGAAAGAATCGCCGAGTAAATCACGTGAAGGCAAATGTAATTGCGATAATTTCCCGTTTGTATTGCATTGCTGCTTTATGATACACATGCAAACAACATATTACTTAAGCTAAATTCTCTGTCTATCAATTCGATATAATTTCTACCTTAACAAGTTGAGGTGGTTACGAAAGACATATGAAGATGACAATAATAGTGCGAAACTTTGTTTCCGCATATACAAGGCGCATTATTACAATATTTTTATTCAATAAATGTACATCATTTCAGGAAATATGTGAGTCATGAAGACATGAAAAGTGAACTGCAGAAGCTCCCGTTACTTTTCAAGCCCAAGAAATCAACAGACGATCGTCCAACGTAAATGAAGGCGAAAGCAAGAGCTCATCCACAGTGACTCGATTTGGGGCAACTTCTGGTTTTCGATTGTAATGAATTTAAAACTCAGTCTGCAAATTGAATAAACATGTAAACGTCTACGAACAGACAATTTGTTCACCCTATGAAGGGATCTGTGCATTGGCACACCGCAGAAATTAAATTTGTTATTTGTGAGTGAGCCAATATTCTACAAATTTTTACCCCTCGTATAATTCGAGCACGATTTCAGAATTTGTTAGTGAGCTAATATTCTACAAATTTGCTCATCTCAATAATTTGAGCACGATTTCAGAATTTGTCGCTATTTCCTATGAAAATCGTGAGTGTGCAGAGCAACAAAGTTGTTAAGATTCGCCTACTTAATCTTCACGGAATTTTAATAAGCACCATTTTCCATTCAACTCACTGATATTTTGTATTGTTTGCACTTGAAGATTGCACAATGCACAACGCAAAAAAAAAATAAATTGGAAAAACGTGTGGCGTCTATTACCTGTAAATTATGATAAGATAGAATTGAAAGCTAACGACCAAACAAATTCATATATACCCTTCTGAATTTCTTCTTAATATTGAAAACACAATTATTTGTACTATATCTAAATTAAGCATGTTATTTCATTTTGATGATCGAATAACAAGCTTCTCGTAGTAGTCTATGAAGGAAATTATGTCCAAGCAAGCATTACCTCTTTATATATTGATCAAGAAATACACAGGTTGATCGGGAGCCCACGCTTTTGTTGGGCGTATCACAATTCACGCACGGCGTAAACCACATATTGTGTCAACTTGACTTCTGGAAGTGATGAGCAATGAAAAGTATGTCGTCTTAAGGCCAGATACTGAAAATAACTGGCACATCCAAAATGTTCTAAAAAATCGCAGTTTGCTCTTGTAGTTGGTTAGTGGCCAAATGTTTGCTATCGCTTCAGCTATTTAGCTATCTCGCACTGGAAGTCAAGATGAACATCACCAAAGAGCGTGGAAGGTCTCAATTATCAGAAGTTTCTCAAATCAAAAATTTTTCATCACCCACAAGGGGCGGAAAGTCTCAGATGTCCAGCCAGCGTAAGCATCTCAAAGAGACGAAGTGACAAGGAGGGACAGGTGAAAAGCAACAGAAAGTCAGAAACTAAGACACTTGAACAAGAGGTCGCTTACACTGGACGTCGGCCGCCCGCACGCGAGAGACAGAGGAGGGAAATGTAAGGAATCCTACCAACATAATAACTTAATGTAAGGAATCCTGCCAACATAATAACTTAACCCCACAACTGAGATCTGCATTCAGACACTACGAGCTCAGCGGTGAGGCGCTCACGAGCAATCCTCTAATAGGAGTGCGAAATCCCGTGGGACTTCTGACGTGCACAGACACCCGTCAGAAGACCCCCCCCCTGAGGGGTCTGTTGTTGTAATAAATTATGCCGATCGCAGCCACGGAACTACCATAAATAACGCTAACGATCACAGTGAACCCTCCCGTAATTCAGACCGCATGTATAGAAGATTACTAGAAGAAGCACAAGAATTGTACCTCACAAACAGACTCGGCATCACGTAATCTGACGAATCTCCAAGCAGCAAGTGAATTAGAAGCCAGTCCCGTAAATATTTGATGAGTATGTTTGTGCTTGCTTATGTTTGAAGCCTGGTGCCGCATATTAGGACCGTTTGTTCGCGTATCCACGATACTTTTCGCGTCGGGTTGCACCTCAACCTGAAATTTTGTTTTTATCAAAACTGGGAAAGGATTGCAGCCAAATTTTCCAGCCTTGCTAAAAAGACACAAAAACGGTAATTTTCGACTGGCGAAAATTATCAACAACGTAGGATATGGACCGAAAACAGCATATACAAACAAAAACAAAAACTAACATAAATAACATTTTACGATATTAGTAATAAAAATCGTCAGTCGTGATTCGGCTGTGATTAACACAAAATAATATGCTTTTAAAAATTACTTTTTTAGAGACAACACTTCTATATATATAGAGGGAAGTGTCTTCGAAGTTACACATGTACAATGAATTTATTATTTTATTTTTAAATATAAAAAAATTGTTTTTCAATTTTTTATGTATAACAAAAGCTTACATTTTTAAATTATTTATTCTGTCATTGGTTTCCTGCATTAATTTTCTCCGACTTTGCGCAAGTGCGCAAAATTTCAGATTGATTGGACAGGGATATCGATTGGACAGGTAAATATAGATTATAATATTTATGAGAGACAGGCAAACAAACAGACAAACGAACAACATGAAGTGAAGTTTAAAGAGAGAGAAGAGTTGTAACAATGAACAGGACTTGCAACTCCGTGCCTCTATTGTATATTCATGAGAGACAATTACAATACATCCCTGATAGGCGAGGTCATGAGTGAAGTAACCTTATTATATAGACTCCTGCTTTTGGAACTTTTTCTATACGAGACGAGACAAAAGCTTTGTACCGGTTCGCAATAAAAACCGGGACAATTTTCAGCACTCCGTAAGAATTCCGGGACGATACCGAGACGAGACGTCTCGGTTAAAATAGGAGATATAAAATTTCCCGGAATTTATATCTTTTATAACGAGACATAAAGAGACAAACCGCTTAATGATTGGATGTCTACTTTGCTTTTAGTTTACAGACATGTACAATAACTTGAGGCGTATTCATTGACAATCCCGATCGTGGGCTCGGCAATTAAGATTGTTTTGCTACGTATCGTTATTTAACATGGCACTTATTCTTGACAAGGCATATAATAATTAAAATGAAAATTTGCATATCTTTTATATTTTTTTTACATTTGCAATGTTGTCCTGTAATGCAGATGTTGTAGAATAAGAAAGACTTGGTAATACATGCTTTATTCAAACAAATGTCGAGTTGTAACTGTGCAGGATACAGCCCAGGTCGGACATGTGCTTAAAGGCTGCGAGAAAACTAAGTGAATTCACAGAGTTTAATTCAGTCTTTGTAAAGAAGGATGCTACCCCTTTAGAGAGAGAAAATCTTCGCAAGAAATGGCAGGAGAGACTCAGGCGGAAAAGCATGGAGACTCGGGTCAACCAATTTCACGACGTCAAGACAACACCGACCGCACACGGTCAGTCAGCGGAGCTTTAAGACAAGTAAGAAGTCATGTCCATAGAACCAGGCCTGTAAATAATGTAAGAAATAAACGCATGAATCAAAGTGAAAGTGCACAAAAAGCTTTAAAATGTTTTTACACGAACTCGGATTCCGTTTTGAACAAAAGAAGTGAACTATTAACTGTGATTGAAAACGAGCGCATAGACATTATTTGTATTACAGAAACACTCCCTAAAAATCACGGGGGGAAAATTGTACCTGTTGAATTTCAGTTTCCAGGTTTTGATTGTTTTCATAACTTAAATGAAGAGTAGTGCAGTAGAGGTGTAGCTTTGTGGGTTAGAACCTATTATGGGGCCCAGCGAGTCAAGCTATCTGCAGAACATCAATCAGATAGAGAATCAGTGTGATGCGAACTTACTCTAAAAGGCAAAGATAGCCTCCTCATAGGCGTCGTGCATAGATCACCAAACAGTTCTTCTGATAACGATAAAGTACTAAACAGTCTTTTACCGAGCATGACTTTCCGTAGGTCACACACGTTGATCGTTGGTGATTTTAATCATCCAGAGATGGATCCTCTCCAAGGGAAGAGAATCACCCAGCATCCTTGTTCATGGAGTCAGTAAGAGACTCCTTCCTAGTCCAGCACGTTACCAAACCAACCCATTATAGAAGTAAACAGACTCCCAATATTCTAGACCTGGTGTTTACCAGTGATGAATCAATGTTGGATGAGCTTCGTCACGAGGCTCAGTTGGGCAATAGCCAGAGGTGGGCAGTAGCGCGCTACATGTAGCGGCCGCTATATTTTCAGTAGCGGTAGCGGCTCTACATTTAAGGCAATGTAGCGGTAGCGGTAGCGCCCGCTACATATTTAAGTAGCGATACGAGGTTTTGCCGCTACAGCGCTACCGCTACATTTATAGATAAAGCCTTTAGATTTTACTTAATAGTATTAAATATTATTTAAAAACCAGCATGATACATACATGATATAAATTACAGAATAAAACTGTACGAAAGACTTCGGTGTATGTTGTCAACCTCAGCCTGTTACTAGTGTCAACATGTTAGTTGTTACCAGAGGTGGGCAGTAGCGCGCTTCATGAAGCGGTAGCGGTGCTATATTTAATCAATTGTAGCGGTAGCGCCCGCTACATTTAGAGCATGTAGCGGTAGCGTTAGCGGCCGCTACATTTCAAAGTAGCGCTGCCCAGCTCTGCATATATATGACCACAGGTATTTCCAAACTCCAGGTTCGGTGACCACACGGTATTTCCAAACTCCAGGTTCGGACGCACTACAGCAACATACAAATGCTTCATCGCTTCAGCATCAAGGAACTTGGAAGAGCGTCTGGAGTTTGTCAGTCCAAGAAGTTTGTTGGATTAATTTGCTTGTGTTTCAACATGCTTAGAAAATTTCAGCTCCTTGTCGACATAATCTCCCAAATATTTTTCCACACTAGACTTTTTAATCATTACTCTCTCATTTCAACCCTGACTTCTCATATTGCAATCTTGTTGATCATTGTTCTTCCCGAGGTGAAGTACTTTACATTTGTATACATTACAACGAAGCAGCCACGTATCAGCCCAGTTAACTAAATTGTCAAGATCATCTTGCAATTGCGCTTTATTTGACGCATCCTTCACTGTATTAGAATTTTTTTGTCGTCGGCATACATGGAGCACACACTTGACACTATACTTCTGGCAGATGATTTTAAAAGCAACGAACAAAATAGACCCAAGAACGCTTACTTTTGGCAGGCCACTGCGCACTGATGCCCAGTCTGGCACGGTTCCGTTATACTGACACGTTGTTGTCTACCTACTAGAAAATCGCTGATCCATTGTAGCACGTTTCTCTCTATTCCCATAGACTTTACTCTACGCAACAACCGCTCATGCGGAACACTCAAATGATTTGGCAAAATTGAGGTATATACTGCATCCACTGGCTCCCTTTCGTCCAGCAGGCGAGTCCAATTGTTCAATGTGGACAAGATGCTAGTGCGGTGAATAGTCAAGTGATCGATAATCCTATCCCTCACAACAGATTTCATTACCTTACAAACACTTGTTAGACGGATAGGGCGATAGTTACCGGGGCTACTTTTGTCACCTTTTTCAATATTGGTTACTTGAGCTTCTTTCTAATTGCTCTGCAAAGTTCCTTCGTTCAAGGTTTTTTTTAAAGAATATATTGTCAATGGGTCGGTCAAGACGGTTGCTAATTTTTTGAGCAATCTTAATTGGATGGAAGCCGTCTGGTCCACATGACTTGTTGGGACTTAGAGTTTGCGATTACAGTTAACAATTCACTTTTTTGTTCAAAACGGAATCCGAGTTCGTATAAAAACATTTTTAAATTTGTTGTGCAC